TATATATATTTGTGTATGATACATAGCTATTTGAAGGTACAAATTTATTTGGTAATAGTAATGCGCGAATTGTTCCTCGGTAGATTACAAATTCTATTACCAGCACAATACGTAATGTATGCAGATAAGTTATTACTTATTTTAGTAGGTTTATCTTACAAGCAAATTTTTTTGCGCTATTTTATTAAATTTTCTATTTTTCTGCATTTAACACTAAAATTGTTAAGGATGAAATAAATGATAAGTTGCAAAAAGATATAAAATAAGTATATGGTAAAGCGAAACAGAGTATTGTCGAAACATTTTGAGTTCGATATGATATCTCGAACGCGGGGGATCGCGCAATCGGCGGCACGGTGCCCTGGAGTGCACTCAGCTCAATTCGGCTACCCGCATGAGTATGCTAATCGCGGGGACTCAGTTACTCGTCATCGCGCCTGTTTGCTCGCGCGACGACGACTGAGAAACTCGTTTTCGTGCGCGAGCGCGGAGGTCGGCAAACTAACGTCCTCAGGCAGTAATTTATTGCGAGAGAGATCCCGTGAGAATTTCGTGCCGCCGCGGAATTGATTCGTCAAGTACGTCGGAAGGAAAGGAAAGGCGACAAAAGAAAAAAAGGACAGTAGAAGAGAGATAAGAAGGAAAAGAGCGAGAAGAGAAAACGCGCCGAGTGTTTCGGGCGAGACAGGTCCGATAAAGCGAGAGACACGCGTGTCTCGAAGTAACGACCCGGGCGATATGAATTTTCGCGATTAACGCTCGAGTATCTCACATTAACCCGAGAACAGTCACTTGATTTTTACATCCAGCAGTAAGAAAATAGAACTCAGTCTCGCAGTAGTTTTCTTTATCGATCAGAAATCCATTCCATGTTTTATTTCTCTTCATTTTTTTTAGAGAACGTTAAATCTATCTATATATATATAAAATTCTCAAATGCAGATAAAATGTAGATCACAATAACATATAATATGTAATTAATCTTACATTACTCGTTTCTTCTTTTAACGTGATATTCGCGAAGTGTTTCTCATATTTTATACGTTGAGCCAATTTTCATACTTCTCTTTAGTGATTTATAGCTAACAAGTAAAACTGATAATATTCTATACGTTCTTCAAAAAAATTAAATGCAAAACTTTGTAATTGTTAAACAATTTACTAAATATAATAATGTGTATAAATAGCAATTATACATTTAGCGAATTTATTTATTTTTATAACGAATTATATAATAATAACAGTGAATTTTAATTGAAGTGTCAAAAATATACTTCACGTAATCGTTTATGTAAACAAAATTAGGTGATTATTCCTGGATTAAAATCATCCAGCAATGTCATATAATCGCGATTACTAAACGACTCGCAGTGATTACGCGATCAATACGTATTACGCAATTTTTCCTTTATTCAACTTCCCGGGAGTATTATGTAAATTCCCTTGAAATATTGTTTTGTATAAATGCAGTTTACTTACGCGAATCCGCCGAAGTTTATTCTCGTCCTTCCACACGATCTTCAAAATCTGTTTAACTTGTAAATGCTATGCTAACCACCGTATAGATCTCCTATGAATTTTCATGCTGGAGGCGTTTGATGGTATTTCTAGAACTCGCGGGATATTTGCAGTGCATCCTCTTGAGGTGTATTTCAGCGAAACAGTTATCGTCTCGCTAAACAGCCATTAAATGCGCAACGTAAATTGCGTTTCCGCGCACAACGCCCGCGATCCTTGGCGGAGGTAGATCTTTTTCTTCTCCCGCCATGTATATACGGCAGATGTGTATAGAACATAAAATATCGAGCGCTCTCGTACAATTTTCTCAATGCACCATGGACAATAAGTCTCATTCGCGCTGCACATCGCTCGTTCCTGCGTCAATATTGACGGAGGATGCTGCGAACGCGCGCAGCACCGTAAATGTTGTACTTAATTGCTGGCCTCTCTCTCGGCACTGTTTCTCTTCTTCAATGACACCAATGATTACTGATTACCATCGGCAAAGGAGGCGAGTTGATAGATCGTCGTAGCAACGATCTCCGCGACCCGGCTGATGAAAACCCTCTTCTCCGTGTCATGTCTTCGGCGCGCATCGGCAAAATAGTGTCGAGGTCGGGAAAAGTTATCTATTCGTTCGTACAACGTGAATTAAGATCGCGAAGACGCCAGGTTTCTGCGAACTATTATGATTGTTTAGTTTCTCGATACTTGAACTGACAAATAACGAGGGATAATAAAAATATGATGTAATTTAAATCATAAACAATAAAAAGAGCTTATTCGGATTTATTTATTTATTTTTTTTTTTTTGAAAATTCATACGACTGAAAAAAAACATCTACATGGAAGGATTTGCTGAAATATCTAAAATTTTAGCTACAGATCCGAAAATAATTTTGTTGAACCACCAAAATATAATAATTATGTAGGATTAGAAAATTGTCGCTAGTTGCACAATAAGGTGCAAGTCGGGAATTGGAAGCGATCGATTAAAAGACTGCCGTATGATAAAAGTAACATTAGTGTAGACGACACGAACGGTTTTTGAAATGATTGCACTTATTTTCCGATAATGTTAGTCAGCGTTATTATTGTTATTGAACGTCACGTGACAGTTTTAGTTATATTTTCACGACTATTCGACGACACGAAATGGCTTGTAGAGCTCGTAACAGGCGCCATTCCTTCACGTGTCGCATTGCCGTATCTAACTATAGTGTAATTTCTACCGAGGAGGTAGACGCGACTTGCATAACACTTTGCAATAAGCCACGAGCTATGATAAATGTTCTTTTTTCTCTTCAAGTAGCCTCGCACGCGCGCGAACGAGGGCAGCGAAATACACGTGTTTTGCAAAAATCAAGGTGTTGTATTTACGGAAAAGGTTTTCTACTAATCCCCGATAGCCTTCGAACTTTTGCCAAACTGTACGATTTTGCGACCTAAACCGCGAGAGCGTAAAACACGCGGGATGAAAATAAACAAGTTCGGAAAATATTGGTTGTCCTTGTAGTATCTTGAAACGAACGTTTCGCTTCGCATAGATATACAAATAATTTATTCGCAAGTCATTTATTTTTATCGTTAC